ACTTTTCATGTCACTATAATGCCATAATTCTAAAATAAAATGTTTTAACCAGTTCTGTGGAACTGCCTAAATTGTTTATTATGATGAGCTATCTTATTATACATGAAATTTGTTCTAGGTGGTTCTACTAATCAGAGATCTTTCTGTGGACTCATGTTTATGTAGTGATATAGCAATACAGAGTCTCTACTTGCCATTGAAGTACTATAATCATAGGCTCTTAAAGGAAATGTGGAGATCATCTAACCAAACCCTCCCATAAAATCCAGAAATATTCTTCAACATTCCTCTCAGTGTTGGTGATTATACTGTTTTGTCAGGGGATCATTTCATTGAAGCATTTCAAATTAATAGGGTGTTCCTGTGTTAGGCTAAAAAATATATATAGCTCTGCTTTTTATCCATCAGTCCTAGTTCTTACCCATTATAACTTCTGAACACAAAATAAGCTGTTTGACTTTTAATCATTTTAAGTCATTTCCCTGTAGTCTGGATAAAAGCATCTGCTAGGGTTTAAATTAATCTTTTTTAAAAATTAGTGTTATACTATACTTAGTTTATCTTAAGGTGGTGAACAGTTTAAACTCCAAGGACATTATGTTGTGAAATATCAGTCCTGTTTTCATACTGCAAGGATTGATGCAGAATTACTGTTCCATTGCACCTGACTTTGTTCTGAACAAAATTCTACCTGAGATTTATTTTTTAATCATGGCTCAATTATTACTCCACCATTTCTTTTTATTTATTTATTTATTTAGGTACCAGGCATTCATTGAACTCAATCACTGAGCCACATCCTCAGCCCTATTTTGTATTTTATTTAGAGACAGGATCTCACTGAGTTGCTTAGCACCTCACCATTGCTGAGGCTGGCTTTGAACTTTCAATCCTCCCATCTCAGCCTCCTGAGCCTCTGGGATTACAGGCATGTGCCACCGTGCCCAGCACTCGCCATTTCTTGTGTCTTCAGTAGATACAAGCATGCCTTCTGGATCTTCCCTTAGTCACTAATGCAAACTTAATCAAGAATGTTGGGAGCTTACAAGTAAGAAATTAACATGCAGTGACTTAGGTAGAAGTTAGTTGTCTCATACCAACAAATGAGGTAGGAGATAAGCAGTTCAGGGCCAGTATGGCAATCTCATAGTGGCATCAGTGCCCCATGAGTCTGTTCTCTTCCTCCTCCTCCTCCATCAGATCTTGCTTCCATTCTCAAAGTCACCCCATGACAGACATTTACTGCAGCTCTAGCTATGATGTCTTGGTAGGAAAATCAGCCCCATGTTTTAAATGACTTTCCCCAAAGCACCAGCCAAAAAAATCTCTTGCTTTGGCAAGAAGATAGTTCACATTGCTACTTTCACATGCAGAGACTTGGAAATGTACTTTGTTAGATAGGCACACTGCCATCCCCAACAAAATCAAGGTTTATGTAGTGATAAAAATATTTCACAAGGAGAAGAATAAATATTAGGTAGATGAGATATGGGAGATGTAAGGGGAACACAAAGTCTTTCTAGAAGAAACATGCTCTTAAATACCAGGGACCTAACCTGTGGGGGTGCAGAAGCATGAAGAGATGAATATAAGACCAAGTCTTTAAACTTAGTCATAAACAGTATTGAAAATGTTATCATGTTAACATAATTAGTAGCAATCTAGGAAGGTTTGTTTATCAGTATTGCTAATCTTCCTCAGAAAGTCATATCTCAAATTACTCTTTTTTAAGGTAAATACCTTTTACAACTGAAAACTTGGTTTTGCTAGTGATTACTACTTGGTTTAGTCCCAGGGAGTTGACAATCATCAGATTAGTTAATGGAGTTTTTACCACTAGAATGTGGCATTTGTATTGCTTAATATTTTTCTCCTGTGGTCCCAAACTGCAACAAAGGGTTTCAATAGTGACATTTTCCTAGAATGGTAATCTGCAGTTCCCTTCTTCAACTACCTTGTATTCTTTTTTTTTTAATTGTTTATTTTAATTAGGTATATATGACAGCAGAATGCTCCCTTGTATTCTGAACAGACAAGTAGATTTCTACCTCACAACTTTTTCATCCATCTCTACTCTGACAGGAGGCATTAATATCTGAAAAAAATTTAAGATAAAGTATTAGGGATGGGGTTGTGGCTTAGTGGTGGAGCACTCACCAGTATGTCTGAGGCACTGGGTTCTATTCTTAGCATCACATAAAAATAAATAAAGGTTTGTTTCTAACTATAAACTTAAAAACAATATTTTTAAAAAAGAATTAATAGAAATTATATATACATATATATGTGTATATATAATTTCTATTATATATATATATATATAAAGGATATATATATATATATATATATATATATATCCTTTTTCTCTGAAAATTCCCCACCCTTTTTTTTTTAATACTAGAGATTGAAATCAAGACCTCATGTATGCTAGGCAAGCACTGCCTACCACTGACTTGCATCACCAGTTATATTTTTATTTTGAGACAGGCTCTCACTAGGTTGCCCAGACTGGCATTGAACTTGCAATCCTCCTGCCTCAGCCTCCTCAGTACCTGGGATAACAGGTGTGTGCTGCCTTACCTAGGTTTTTTTGTTTGTTTGTTTTAAGAGAATTTTTTAATATTTATTTTTTAGTTTTCACAACATCTTTATTTTATTTTTATGTGGTGCTGAGGATCGAACCCAGCGCCCGGCGCATGCCAGGCGAGCATGCTACCACTTGAGCCACATCCCCAGCCCCTTACCTAGGTTTTTTTAATTTAAAAATAATAATTATAGAAAATTTAATCTCTCTAAGCTAGGGAGGGACCTGAAACACCACCTTTAAAATAGGTGGAAATGTTGACCTATGTAGCATCCAGAACTCATTTCACTTTGCTTTCAAGCAATATGTGAGAAAATTATCTCAGTATAGGAAAGTTGGTCAGATTATTTGACAGAGTAGAAAGAAGATGGATCTATGGATAATTCTCTGAACTCCTGCACAACCCCCAGTATCTTTTGTAGATGAAGGAAGTTTCCTTTGTAAAAAAGGATCTGTTTTTAATTTTGTGATACTGGGGATTGAACCCATGAGCTCTCTACTGCTGAGCTACATACCCAGTCCTTTTTATTTTTTTTATTTTGAGGCAGGGTCTCAAAAAGTTTCCAAAGCTGTCTTCGAACTTAGGATCCTCCTGCCTCAACCTCCCAAGAGGCTAGGATTACAGGCCTGCACCACAATACCTGGTTCCCAATTTTATTTTAGAGAAAGTATTTCTGGTAGACCTCTCCCACAACACCTCCTCAGGCTTTTGTTATAAAAATTCATGTGTATGCTGACATTTTTCCTTTCACATGATCCGCTACTGTTTCTTTCCTCATCCATTTAAAAAAAAATTGAATACCCCTCTTTTGTCCTCTGTGCAGTATTAAAATATACAAACAAAATTAAACTAAATTAGGAATAAGTTGACATCAGTATTTAAGCAAAGTGTTAACATGTATGTGACAGGATGTGAGCTAGAATAAGGAGAGTCAGGGCACTGTGGGCTTTTAATTATTTATTTAAAGTATAAGAACAAAAGTAATGTGAAATAATAAGAATAAAAAGACAAAGTTAAGCTCTTCCTCTTGTTGAACCATTGTTGAGAGCTCTATAGTTTCCCCCTATTTATACAAATACATGTACAGTATCAAATTTTGGAAGTTTTGAAAGGGTCAGTACAAGAGAAGTGTTCTACCTCTCTTACTATTATATAGGGAAAGAAATGTATGCAGAAAGTCATTTTATCAGGACTCTCAGTTGCAGAACACAGAAATCTAACTTGAAACAGCTTAAGCAAAAACATTATTTATCTTTCATATAAAGTGGAGCAGTGGGGCCAGGCTCAGGGCCAACAGGATCGAAGAATTCAAATGTCTGCCTTTTCCCCTCCTCTCTCATCTTCACTGTCTACTGGCTTCATTTCTGGAGGACCACTGGAACCACGGCTACTTGCAGCTGTGGGCATTCTTTTGTAAAAGCACTTGAAAAAAAATTCTGCCTCAGAAGGTGGGTAACCCAATGTCATGCTCCCAGGTACTCAATAAATACTAATTTGTTGAGAAACTGAATAACAATAAAAAAAATGACAAAATTCTCTTAATCAAATGTTTGGGGTCTTCACTGACACTACTAAGCTGGTTATAGGAAGCTTATTTTGTAAGTTAAAGAAGTATCAATAAACTTAGAGTACACATCCCACCTTTCTATTTGAACGGCTTCATTTCCATTGTCCTTGCTCACATTACCTTTTGATCTCTAAAGTAGAGAAGCAAGCAATGTACATGCCCAGGCAACCAACCCCGGTAACTTGGGCAGAGCTTGTGGTAACATGGGAGGAGGCTGAGCTCTCCAGACTTTTTTTGCAGTGAACTCCTCCTCACACCAAAAAAGTCCCTGTCTTTATTCCATTTCTTCCCTGCAAACATATTTTCTAGATTCCATGTCAGGCTCAGATCTCAAAACCTTAAGCCTCTTTAACCACATATCATTTTTAAAAACCAGGGTTACCTGCATTTATGAAGGCTAGAGGTTTTCATGTTAAATGGTAAAGTACATGATTGTAAGTTCTTAAGTCCAGCAGTGATCTGTGGTATGAACTAAAGAAAGAGAGAAACCACAAAGTTCATCATCTTTCTGTTTTCCAAAACAGACTTTAAGATAAAGATTATGAGCACTATTGGTGACATGGTCTGGAGACTACATAATAACCCGAATAACCTTCGCTGTGCATATTGTAAGGAGACATTTTATTCTGAGGTTGTCAAGACATGGAAGACATGAATAATTGGTTTTAGTTAAAATTGCATTTTATAGTGACTTTCTGTTAAGAAATTCCAAAGGGAATAGAATGATTTCTGAGCTATCTTTACAAAGCAGTGTTGAAAATCTTGTTCTAAAATTGTCAGAACAATTTTTTTTTCATAGAATAATCATACTCTGGTGAAGTCAAGTAAAGATATCAATGGCACCCAAATAACATTGTAAAACAATTTTTATTCTAGAGCAATGCACATATGTTAAAGTATCAAATTCAAAGAGTATATTATGGATTTAAAAATAGAAAAGTAAAAAGTTCTAGTCTTAAAAACAAATGATAGTGATTTTTCTTTCTTACATTATTTGATCCACTGTAATAGCCTAGTACATAGGTTTTATTATCCTAGAGATGTGCTACTATAAGCAAATTGTGTCATATTTATAGTTACATCATACTGTTCTGGTATAAAAAGGTCTAACAGTATGGAAATTTACAAAGTATTTCAGTGTTTTATGGTTAAAGAAAAGTGTAAAATGATTACCAAGTGAGAGTATTCTTTTTCTGTGACTTCCCATGCTCCCTATCAGTGTTCTGTTGTCTGTGGTACTTGCCTTCCCCCATGACTAAAGACTTAAGTAGGTTATCTTCCAGTAGGATTTGTGCTTAACTTAGAGATCACTTAAATGATGGCTTTTCCTCCTCTCCCCTGGCCCACTTATATCCAAGGACTCCTAAACTGATGAATCCTGAACTCTGGACCTTCTCAGGTCAGGTTTTCTCTTCTCTTTGGGGGTGCCTCTGTGTGCCCCATATAGCTGCTACAGTACAGTCCCTCTCTATAAAGGTTGAGTATAAAAGTGAGTGGAGCCTTGACGGCCAATTGGAGATCACCAGTGTCTTGTCAGCTTGGAGGCCACTATAGTTGTCAAAAGGGACACATTTTTATTGTTCAGTTCATTCTGCATGAATTGTAGTAAGGTTGTTACAGAAAAATAGAAAACTAATATAGAGATTCTTTTCTGATCTAAACTCTTGAAAGAATGCTCTTGGTTGTATTTCTCTAGACTAATTTGCAATTAACTAACTGAAAAACAACTTGTGTATAGACATAAGAGATCCCTACCACAGAATAATGAGTCCTCTATGTAGCATTTACATCTGAGAGCATACTGAAACAGTCTTTAATTTCAAATAATATCAAGGCTAACACCCTTGGTTTTCCAAGCTACTTTAGGTCTTGTTTAGTAGGGATACTTGTTTTCTTTATTTAATTCTCTTATGTACAGCAAAGTAGCTTTGCTTCAGGTTGCTGGGGTGTGCCTATGCCCAAGCCTGCATCACGATTCTGGAGTAGAAGAGGGTCCCCTATTTCACCATATTCGACATATCTGAGGTTGTGGCACTCAACACTGAGGAGCTGAACTTTTTAGAATTTTTTTGGAGATAGCACTTTAAATAAAGCACTTAAGAACCAAAAAGCTCAGTTCAGTGAAATTCAACACAATGCACAAACAAGAGGTAAAGACCAAGAAGAAGATGAAGATGGTTTTCTCAGTGGGTTTGGAGATGAAGCAGTCTACAGTGTTGGGACAAGGCTTCAAATCGCACTTCATAAGGTAGGGGACACTAAAGCCCCTATACAACTTATAAAACAAAACAAGGAAGCCAATTTCAAAACCAGTTTTGACAATGAGGCTAATCAAATAGGTGTACCATAGGCCCCCATCCATGGTGCCTGGGCTGTCATAGAGTTTCTTTCCATGCTTTTTTTCTCTCCCCTCACAATAGGCCACATGTAGAACTACTAGGAGAGAGGGCGTGGAGACCATGATCAGCTGTAAAGCCCAAAGTCTGACCTGGGAGACGGGGAAGAAGTAGTCAAAGCACACATTTCCACAGCCAGGCTGTCTAGTGTTGCACTCAAACTCTTTCTGCTCATCCTTCCACACGTGCTTTGCAGCCACTATGTAGACCAGCAACCGAAGGATGAACATAACAGCTAGCCAGATGCGCCCAATCCCAGTTGAATATTTATTTACTCCACTTAGGAGGTCTCTGAGGAACATCCAACTCATGACTTAAGCTCACAAAAAGGCAAGACTCTGTGAAAGAAAACAATTTTATTGTGATTCATGAATTTCTATTCTGTTAATTATTTGAGCAACTTTGGAAGATAAACTCCAAAAGGAGATGACACAACTGATCCATGGACACAACTGAGATCCCATTTGCACTTTAATTTGGAATTTTATTTTATTGCTGTACCCTCACTCAACCCCATTTTCAAACAATACTTCTTGGCAAAAGTCTCTACTATTTCTCTAGAAAAATAGAGGGGTTATATTACTAATCAGAAAAGATCTAGATATGAATCCAAGGGTGAACCTGGTAACTACATATCCTTCCCTTGCCAGATTATTGAATATGTAGTCTCTATTCACTTTCTCTAATTTGTTAGTAACCCTCTCCAATCCTTAAGCACCATTCCCTGTCCTTATATGCTCCTACTTCCTATATTTCACACCCCTGAGCTTGCCTACAATTTGAAAATACAAGGGGAAAATCTCCAATGTGAACTTTTGTGAAACTCCTGCTTCCTTTCTCTCCAGAAAGACTTACACCCACACCCTGTGTAATAGTTTAGATGTGAGATGTCCCCCAAAAGCTCAGACAGTGCAAGAAGGCTTAGAGATGAACTGGTTGGGTTATGAGAGGGATTAAAACTGAGTGGTAACTGAAGGTGGGTAGAGTGTGGTGGGAGGAGTTGTGCCTTTGGGGTATATATTCTATATCTGGTGAGTGGTATGTGTCTGTCTCCCTTCCCCTCAACCCCCCCCCCTTCCTTCCATGATGTGTTGAGCTGTTTCCCTCCACCACCCTGCTCCACCATGATGTACAATCTCACCTCAAGCCCCAAGAAATGGAGTCAGCCATCTGTGGACCTCTGAAATTGTGATTCACCCAAATAGACTTGTTCCTCTAATTGTTCTTGTCAGGTCTTTTGGTCACAGCCATGAAAAAGCTGACTAAAATACCCAACTTACTGTTTCTACCTAGTTTGGAGGGATCAGTCTCCTCCTTGCCTCAAAATAACAATTTCAGCTTTGCATCCCATTCTTATCTGTTCTCTCTGTTGTGTATTATGAGTCTTCAACCTCTCCTGTCCTTCATCTCTCAGCATACAAGTAAGTATGTGCTGTCTTTTTAGTTGAGGGAAGAGGATCTTCATAGCATTATCTGTCAACCTTTCTTTTATCCCTTTTTTCCACCTTTCTCAACAATTACCCTTAAATTCAGTGAGTCTACTTTTTTTGCTCACCATTGTACTTCTCAATTACTACTATCACTTTAAATCTTCTGGATTCTTTGGATGTCATTTAATTTTTTGGTGTTGTGACAATGTCGTTGTTGGTAAAGATGGCACCCTGAGCGCTTCTCTTCCGGGAGCTCAGGGTTGTTGGTAAAGATGGTGCCCAGAGTGTTTCTCTTCTAGGAGCTCAGGTCCATGACGCACTGAATGGTGCGCGAACTCTCACCTCCAATCCCTGTGAATGGCGCGAACTTTGAATGGCACACCTCCAATCCCTGAAGTGGTGCGAACTCTTGGCCAATGAAGAAGTAACAGCCCACTCGCATTGCTCCTCCTCATCCTGCGTTAAGTCCATAAATATCAACACCCTGTTCGTGCTCACTCTTTTACTCTCTTAGTCTCCCCTCTCTTACTCTCTCCCTCTCACTCCCCCCTCCCCTCTCCTCTCTCTCTCTTCCCCCTCTCCTCTCTTCCCCCTCTCCTCTCTTCCCCCTCTTCTCTCTTACTTTACCTCTCTTACTCTCCCCCTCTCTTCCTCTCTCTCTCTCTCCAGTCCTGCTAATAAAATCTCTGACAGGTAAACGGTTGTCTTGGCTTGTTGAGTTTATGGAGCTTTTCCACCGTTTCTTACAGTTGTACTTGTGTTCTTGAAACTCTATTATTCTCTTTCTGTTGTTCTGCCTCCTTTGATTGTTTTAAAAATTCTGTCCCCTTCTGACTATCACCTAGATGGCCCACAGACATTCCAAACTTAATATGTCTACACTGAATTTATTATGTTCCCTGTCCTCTGATTTCATTATCTTGTTGCATGGTATCACCAACACCCAAGCACCCACATCAGAAATTTCATATTTATTCTAGACTCTTCTCCCATGGCCTTATATAAAATTTCTTACCAAGTTCTTATAATTCAGCCTAAACATCTCTCAAGTGCATCTCCAAGTCACTCACCTACACAATCCTTTCATTACTTCCTGTCTCCAGTCTTATCTCCTTGCCTCTCCTCAGTGCTGTTTGGTTCTCTTAAACCTTTCATTAACCTCTCTTAATCTTTTCTCTGTAAAGGCCAATAGGAAAGTGAGGAACCTTGTTTTTCATTTCAGTGACATTGTCTTTCTATCACTGCTTCCATCTTGTCTTATGATTGAACTCCATGGGATGGTCCTGAGTTTTTTTTTATTGGGCCCATCAGATGCTCTGCACTGTGTAGTGCTTTTTGAAGTGATCTGTCACAACCACCTTGAAATATAGGCTTTGTTTTTTTTTGTCTGTTGGTTTTATGGTGGTGGCCATTTTGTTCTTCCAGATGAGAAGGCAGTTTCCGGGAAATGAAGTCACTTCCCAAGGATACAGAGTAAGATACAGAGCAGGGTTCAAGTTCAGTTTCCAATACTCTACAACAGGACTTATCAACAAAGGCACCAGTGACATTTTGGGCTGAATAACTGTTTCAGCAGCTATCCTGTGCATTGTAGGATTGTTTAGCATCATCCTGGCCTCCAGATGACTTGTACCCTCCCTACCATTTATGACAAAACCCTCCATACATTTTTCCAAATGTACCAGGCAGGGGTGGGAGGCAAAATCTCCCTAGTTGGGAATCACTACTTTTAACTTCCTACAGTATCTAGAAGATGTGGGCTGGAGTTCCAGGCCTGCCACTAAATTACCAGGTAAAAATTTTGTTATTTCTCAGGTGAAAACATTTCCTTTTCAAGTCCCATTTCCTATTGCAAAAATTAATTACTTCTTTGTTTTCTCCATAGACTCAGACAAAGGAGTATCACGGAAATGATGCTGTAATGAGATCCAGGGAATTAAGAAAATTGGGATATTGTTCCAATAGCACACCTGTCAGAACTGATCCCGTTATCTCTTACAGAGAGAACTATACAGAGCAAGCCCACATACTAAAGCTGTGAGAAGATGAAGGTTAAGAGCTATTTTCAGACAAAACAAAGATACATGTACACAGTACTCTATTCAACAGAGATTGTATACTTCAATGTCCTTGGTTTTCAGAACACAAACAAAATTACATTAAATAAAAAGTATCCTTAAATCTACCTGAAAGGTTAGTGTCTTTATGAATCGTTAAAACAAAATCCCATAGATTAAAAAGGGGGGACAAATGGTTCCTATGACATATCTTTGGACATTTGTCCATATTACTCAAGGGGATGTTCATGTAATGTTACAAAACATTTGAAAGTACCCTGTTGGACGTTTTAGAGAAGGAAGGAAGGTAAGAATAGATCCAGACTGCATTGTTGAAAAAGAAGCTGTGAGAACCAAGCATGATGACCCATACCTGTAATCCCAGCAACTTGGGGAGCTGAGGCAGGAGGATTGCAAGTTCAAGGCCAGCCTCAGCAATTTAGCAAGACCCTGTCTCAAAAAAATAAAAAGGACTGGGATGTGCCTCAGTTGTAATCTCTAGTACCCAAAAAATGAGTGAATGGATAAATGAAAAGCAGTAAGAAAGCAATTGATCTTTGACTAGAATCAGACATCTGGCACCATCAAATGTCAGGATTATGACTTTCATTGGACAGATAATGCCCATCCTATTTTCAGACATTTTGCTGATGGAAGACAATGGCTTTTCTCATGATAGAGTGGTGCCCTAATATTAGTTGACTTTTAACTGAGGTGATTTAGCATAGTTGGTAAGAGCCTGAGCACAGTGTAATTTATATCTCTTCTTAGAGGAAACCAGGCCTAAAAGGCCAAATATTATGTGATTCTACTTCTATGAAATATCTAGAATAGAAAAATTCCATATAGACAGAAAGTAGAGAGGCAACCAAGAACTGGAAGGAAGGAAAAATAGGGAATTTTTGCTTAACTGGCTACAGTTTCGGTTAGGGGTGATGAAATTTTGGAAATAGTGATGATGGTTGTACAACACTATGAAAATAATGTCACCAAATTATATACTTAAAAGTGATTAAAATGGCAAAATTTTGGCTAAGAGTGTAACTCAGAACACTTGCCTAGCATGCATGAGGCCCTGGTTCAATCTCCAGCACTACAAAGTAGTGGAGGGGGCAAACTTTTATACATTTTAGCTTAATTTAAAAAGCAACAAGAAGAGCTGGATTGTGGCTCAGTGGTACAGCACTTACCTAGCATATGTGAGGCATTGGGTTTGATCCTCAGCACCACATTAAAAATAGTTATTAAAAATTGATGAAAAATAAAAAGCAACAAGTGAATGAGTGAAAGGAAGCATCATTAAAATATAAAGAAATAACAGGAGCCCAAATAACCTAAATATCTAAAGAAAACATTTATTTTGGGAGTAGAAATAGGGATAAAAGAAAGAAAAATTATTAATGCTTACCAATGGATAAGGTTCATTTCATGATTTTCTGCATTACCCATATTTTTTTACAATAAAGGTGTTCAAAATTAAATCTGAAAAAAAAAGACCTAAATGAAGAAAAAAAAAAAGTCAGCCATCACTTTTTCATGTCTTTTCGTGTGTGTGTGACAATTGAAGACAGCTATTTGTAGATTATGTGTTTACACTCCAGCCAATTAATATATATCTGGAAGGTTAACATATAGGAAGATTACATGGTGAATACTTCAGAGTTTTTCTTTCCTATATATGCATGTCAGTGACTAACTTAAGTACCTCTCATCTCTAAGCTCCAGCTGACACCTCCTCATCCAAACTAGGATGTCTAAGAAACTGAAAACATCCAAAAGTGAATTCTTGCCTGTACTTCCTCCACCTTTCATTGCCCCCACCCCCAGTGCTCTTCTTTCTCTTCAATCCGCACCATACAGATATTAAAGCCAGAAACTTGGGAGTTGCTCTTCTCCTTGTCTCTCCCACAAACCTCATATCCAACTGATGTTCAAAGGCAAAATTTTGACTTTTGAGATATGTACCAAAACTTTTTACTTTATTTTGTTTATTTTTATGTGGTGCTGAGGATCGAACCCAGTGCCCCACATGTGCTAGGCAAGCACTCTACCACTGAGCTACAGCCCCAGCCTCCTCCTCATTTTTTAATCTGCATTGTCACCACGTTAATCCAAGCCACCTTCCTCTCTTGCATGAAATGTCATATAACTTTCTGTCTTCCCTTTTCTTATTTTTGATTCTGTTCAGCCCAAAATTATTATTTTATATTATGAATTATTATTCATCCAAAACTAGGTTAATATTTCAAGTGGAGATTTTATAGCCTCATTTCTGTGTTTAGTGACCTCCATAACTTCCCACTTTTAGAAAAAAGTGAAATACTTACCTAGATAACAAAGGTCTGGGAATGAAGATTTTTCTATTTCTTCTACATTATCTTGAACATCTCCAGAGTATACTGGATTCCAGATGTGCTCTCCTTCTTTCAAATTCTCTATTAGATCCTACTTCCACACTTTTCCACCTGCCTGCTTTTATCCCCTTCACCTAAATCAGAAAGACTTCCCATGAGTCCATCAATCTAAATTAGATCTTCCTTAGTATTCTTCATGATATTGGCTTCGTTTTCCTCCATACCATTTATAACATGTAATCACATGCTTCTTTATGTGATTAATTTCTGTACACAACATGTGTTCTTTCAGAAAAGAGACTAGAGGGCTGGGATTGTGGCTCAGTGGCAGAGTGCTTGCCTAGCATATGTGAGGCACTGGGTTCTAGTCTCAGCACCACATATCAATAAATAAAATAAAGGTCCATTGACAACTAAAAAAATAGATATATTTAAAAAAAAGAAGAAGAGACTGGAGTGTTTGAGTAAATAAAAATGTAAGATTCCCAGTAAAATTTGAATTTTAAAAATATGTGTATCTGGAATAATTTTCCAGCATAAGTGTGCCATTCAATATTGGCGATTACTTACACTAAAAAACAAAAACAAAACAACAACAAAAAAAAACCTGTTATCTGAAATTCAAACTTAACTGAGAAATCTGTATTTTACCTGACAGTCCAAGCAAGTGCTTGACTGTTTGTTCACTATTGCATTCTCAGTTCAGCCATTCTTCACCTGTACCCAGCCTTTCTGCTCTCCATTCAAATTAAATGTTCCCCCATTCTCCATTAAGCCCAGGGTCCCTGTTCTGAGGGCTCCTCTTCCCATAACTCCCAGATGGATTTGAAATAAAGATCTTCATGCCTCATTTCTGTAAGAAAAGCAAGTGGGGAGTGTCCTTAACTCCCTCCTAAAATCCATCCATCCTGACTGCTAAAGTGTTATTTTCATTCTGCTGCTGTTCTGCTCAGGAATACATTATAGCTTCTATAATATCTTTGGAATTAATGTCAAATTCTCACTTTGATGTTCGAGGTCCTGTCTAATCTTGATATGTATACCAACATCATTCACCAATTACCCATTTTGGTCTGATGGTTCATCCCCCTGCCCTATCTACCCCTCTGCCCTATCTCAGACACACACATCATTGTGGGCAGCACTTGCTCACGCTGCTTTTTCCTCCTGTCTGCCCTCAAGCCCTCCTTCCAGCCTCAATCTTCCAAATTGTAACTTCTCCCTTTTTGGATTATGTAGCCCCTACCCCTTAGCACATATTTTAATCCTCAATGATATATCATTTTAACCAGTCATGTGCGTGTGTTCTCCCCAAAGTAATTTATTTGTTGCTTGGAGTCAGAGGTCATGTTTTCTCTTTGTTTTATGTTCTCCAAGTGTTTGGCATAACATGGCTGTATAATAAATATTTATTAACTAAATTTAGCTAAAGAAGCAGCAAAGTTGATCCTGAGGTGAAGTATCCAGTCTTTAATTTCTTTGCTCTTTACCATGGAATAAATCACTCACACAATCTTCCCTTAAAGAGGGAATGGATCCTTAGCTCTTCCTGTTAAATACACTAAAAGTTAGAAGATGGCAATATAATGTATTTATAAAGATGGGGATATATCTTGTATTTCTTTGCTATCAGAGCTGATATTTATATTGATGACTAGTAAAGAATTATTTGGTTAATTACTCAAGTAATTTAAATGATGAATTACAGCAATAGATAGTTTTTATTATTATCAATGTTGATTCAAATATTTCATAATTCATTAAAAATATCAAGTGGAATGTTTCTTGGAAATGAAAATAGAGGGTGTGCAGGTGCAATCCTCAGTAGTAATTACTAATGGTTTTATTGCTCCCTTTCACAGCAGATAAGCATCTAATCAGAATGGGAACTTTGGAGTAGAAGAATTGCATAAATACAGAGTTCAAAATCATGATCCCCTGTGTGCTATATATTCAGGAGTAAAAACCGAATGAAAATCTAAAGGAAATAATTTTATCCAGGTCAAATTCTAGTGTCCTAGAAGGAGCTCATATAAGCATAGCATCAGCAGATAGACATAAATGAGTAAATTTATCTGACATACAAGCACCTGGAGCATGGCACATATCAACAATGCAAATGCCATCATCATCATCATCACACTTATCAAACCAGCAAAATCGGAAGGACTTTTCAAAATTCAGCCAAAACACTTCTGCCAATTATTCCAAAGTTCTACTAACTGATAAAGAGAAATTAAGAATACAGTCATGGGCTTTTACAAAATATGTTATTCCAGAGTAAAAGCACAATCAGGCTAAATTAACTCAGAATTTGGTGATGAATACTGTCATGAAATGGATAAGAACTGTAAGGGGGAACAATTAGCCATTCAGAGAAGAAATTTACCCCAAAGAGATCACCTGTCAGTATTTGTGGGGAAACTGGGGAAAAAAAAAAAAACAAGATCCTGTGATAGCAATTAGAGAATAAATGAGTAAAGCAGACAGTGAATGAAAAACAAGTAGCCGAGCATGTGGTCCTGAGATGACATGGCAACCAAGGTTAGAAGAGCAGAGATTTACATGAAGGATCGATGTAGAAACTACATAGATCTTCTCAGTGCATAGTTCTATGCACAGAGGAAAGACTAATGTACAGACAAAATATTCAAGAACCCTTCTGCAACAGGATCCTGGAGTTTCTGGAACAACTGCTATTGCAAACATGCTAAGTGATTGTCACAGCTATTGAGAACTTGTGCAGATCTTTAGGTGAAGAAAATGAATCACAAAAACCATACTGTAAGGGCAAGGAGATCATTCATCTGTTTTTTTCTACATCCTGGATTAAACACCCATAACAATTATTTAACTCTCAAAACTCCAATTTCCTAAGAAACCTTCTGAGTAATTATTTTCTTGCCAAGATTCTTTTTTTTTAAGAGAGAGAGAGAGAGAATTTTTTAATATTTATTTTTTAGTTTTCGGTAGACACAACATCTTTGTTTGTATGTGGTGCTGAGGATGGAACCTGGGCCGCAGGCATACCAGGCAAGTGTGCTACCACTTGAGCCACATCCTCAGCCCTTGCCAAGATTCTTTATGCTTTGCAGGAAGTTTTCTTGAGGCTACATACCAGAGTTCCAGTTACTGGAGAGGAGCTTTGTTTTTTTCTTAAGTGGTACTGGCACTTTTTTTTTTTAAGTGGTACTGGAGATTTAACAGTTGAACCCAGGGATGCTCTAAGCTATACCCCCAGCCACCAGCCCCTTTTTAAATCTTTTAAGAATAAGATTTGAGGGGCTGGGGTTGTGGCTCAGAGGTAGAGCACTCACCTAACATTCATGAGGCACTGGGTTCAATCCTCAGCACCACATAAATATAAAATAAAGATATTGTGTCCACCTATAACTAAAAATAATATATTAAAAAAAGAATAAGATTTGAGACTGGGTCTTGCTAAGTTTCCTAGGCTGTCCTCAAACTTGTCATCCTCCTGCCTCAGTGAGTTGTTGTGTGTGCTATAATGCCCAGCTTGGAGATACACTGTATAAATCAGGTTCACCTGGGCTTGCTTAATGTGAATATGTGTTTCTTAGAGCAGATTCAACTCTAGTTAAACTATTCCCCCAAGTTTTTGAATCTTTGGGAATGAGCACCAGCCCCTGACTGTAGGGACAATCGCTAGCACCCCTGTTAAACTCCCCTTTCATTCTTCTCTTATTACAGGGTGAGTCTTGCCACTCCAGCAGCTTCTCTCCTACACAGGAGCTTCACCTCTTTTTTGGTTCAGTCAATGGCAAGTGAGCTAATCTCAGAGAGGGAGGACAGGCAGGCTGCCCTACTAAGTGCCCTCTCTGTGCTGTGAATGAGCACAATCACTGTCCAAAAGATCCTTGCCCTGCAAGGAGCCAGGAAACTGATTTGTAATTACCAGAAAGTGCTGTTTTGAAACTTGGGTTTGAGGGGCCCCAGATTTCCATTTACCTTATAGATTGCCAATGACAGTCCCCCCAAAAGCCATCAGCCTTCACACTTGGCTCCTTTCACATAAGTAGCAATAATACCATCCTTGAATAGCACTTGTCATTTCAGAAGCACTTCACTACATCTCAGCCCAACCCTCACCGCCATCCTTTGTGGTAAGCAGGTATGTGGTAAGGTGATAAAGAAACAAAAACTTAGAATGATAGGAGATTGATTTAAGACTCCTAGAGTCAGCAGAAGAACACAGGTCCTATATGGCTAGTCTCCAGTTCTCTTTGAAGTGCTGGGTTCTCTAGTTGATCCACAACTCTGTTCTAACTTGCACACAAGTCATTTAACTCTTAAAAGAGTTTTCTGTCAAGGGTTTCTTTCCATATCTATGCTGTCCTGCATGCTTGACGCTTACAAGCTCTGTAACTCCCTATCTAAATACAAGGCATTTTCATTTTGGGAGATTGCTTACTTGGAAAATCCTTAAAGTGATATTTTATAAACAGTGATCTGCAGCCTCCTGAGGGTCTGTTGTTATATTCTCAAGGAGGTTTATATGTGTGTTATTATTTGTATACACATACATAGATATACACACATACAAAAGCAAAAATACTAGATGGTGGGCTCATAACTAAGGACTGCCACAGGATTTCAGCATTTCTGCATTCATGTTTATGAAGATTCAGCAAATTACATAGCCCTCAGGCCAGAGTAGCCTACCTCAAAAAATAAGGTTTTTTTGAGACAGCCATGTCAATTCCTTTATTATTGTCTATCACTGCTTTCATGCTACAACTGCAGAGTTGCGTTGCTACGACACAGTATGGCTCTTACAGTCTGAAGTCTTCACTACCTGGCTCTTTGCACAAAACATTTACATTGTGCTTAAAATCATATTGAAACCAAGTACCAGAATTTTAATTATCTGAGCCTATGAAAAATAACACATGATGGAAAGTATTCAAGATAAAGACAAATGAAGCCATAATAGATTGGTCTGCAGCATGAAGGGATCCTGCTAGTGGTCTAAATGGAGACAAGAGAGAAAAACAAGCTATCATCTGGCCCACAGAACAGGCAAGTCCAGATTCAGAGGATCCAGGCTTTTGTAGACAGTTGTGGATTCCCTTAATGAATAGTGATTTAGTTTCAACAAAACAGTATCATTTCACTAAACTTTTAATTGTACTGGCTTTGTGATGTTTGATTTTTCTCTTGTAAATATATATGCATAAAAGCCATAAGTCTAGGGATTTTACATATGGTTTTAGGTTTTATGCATGTAAATATCAATATACTAAAACAATAAATTGTCAATACTGGTAGTCCATGAAAAACACTGAGTAGAAAGAGCAAGACTCACACAGGCCAACACTACACATACACATCACTTGCAAGGTACTTTAATTCCCTGTATAAATATTGCATTGTCATTTTTAGAGGAGACCCTCCCCCCATTAGGAATATGCTAAGCCTCTCAGACCACATGAAATAGATAGGTCACTGAAAGCCCCTGGACTGTTCCTCTATGCCCTGTTATCCTGCTTATCACATCTGCCCATGTATGCTGTGTTCAGGCCAGAAGTTCTCATAGCCACAACCTATAAAAGCCCTCAAGTCAATCACACATTCCAAATGGGCAACTTTACTTCATGGTCATTTATTCAAAAAGGACATCTTTCACAACACAAAGCTGAATGTCAATATGTTAAGTTTGGTAACAATTAGGAAGTCGTCTTTTACTGAAATTTTCTGGAAAGAAGTAATGACTACCCAATTATAAGAAATGTAATATCCCCATTAAATAGACAAATCTTATCAGAAGGAAAATAAACTTACCTTTTGATACAGATGTGGAGATTTAGAAGCAATCCAGTCAGTTATTCATTTGATATTAAAAAGCATGAATCAATTACACTGTTTCCCTGAGAACAGTGGAGTGCTTTAAGCTCAGGAAAATGGAGTCTAGTGGTTTCCAAGGTAGTGTTAGCCAAACAGGTGTAACCTGATCATTTGTTTTGACTCATAATTTAGATGAGGATTCTTGAGTCCTGCTATTCACAATATATGTTAAAAGAGAATGAAACTGGAAATAAGAATTCAAAGTCGCTCATGTAGTCAGTTCATTGAATATTCTTTATTATAAAACCTTGCCATTATCCAAACAAAGAAGCTAAAACAATGAGAGTATCTCATCTCTCCAAATGATTTTCCAAGGTTTTATCAAAAGTTATCTACAAAAACTCAATAGGTGAAATAACAATTTTAGTTAATCTATCTTTAATGAATTTAGTTTAACTGCATATGTGCTAGTCTTAGAAATTCAGAAAGTAGAAAGACGTAGTTTTTTTGTTAACATTTGTATAAGTGTAAAGCAGACTATTACAGAGGGAAAAACTAAGAATAGAAAGAAAAGTGAAAAGCATTTTCCCAAACACAGGAATCATTGATAACAAATATTTTCTGTGTATATAATGAACAGATATGGGGGGCATTTTATAGTACTTTATCTCTCTCCACCCCCAGTCCCACCCTCTCCTGCCCTGGTTACTGGGGATTAAACCCAGGGCATTCTACCACTGAACTACATGCTCAGTCCTTTTCATTTTATTTTGAGGTGGACTAACTTGCCAAGGCTGGCCTCAAACTTGTGATAATCCTGCCTTGGTCTCTCAAGTAGCTGAAAATATGGGTGTGTATGTCACTGCACCCTGCTAAAATACTTAATCTTTTCCTGGAAATGTTTGTCAAAATCAATTTATCTAAAATTAAAAATATATAAAAAATAAAAGTGACATGATTTCCCCTTAGAACCAGAAGAGCTTAGAAACAGAATTTTACAGTTGGAAATGATATTTTAGATGTCAAGAAATTTAATGCCTTCATTAAAGAAAAAAAAAAAAAAAACATACACACAACCACAGAGAAAGTGGCTTGCTTTATGTCTCAGGCCAGTATAGAAAAGAGCTGTGGGCTAGGCGGGGTGGTGTATGCCTGTAATCCCAGGGGCTTGGGAGGCTGAAGCAGGAGATTCAGGAGTTGAAATCCAGCCTCAGCAACTTATTTAACCACTTCTTTCTGATTTTAGTTTGTTTGTTTTGAGGTGCTTGGTAGATTTCATTTTGATATTTGCCTCTTCGGTATGAGAATGTGGCCCTACAAGATAATCAGGAAGAGAAGAGCCAGAGGCAGAATGAGGCAGTATAAGACAGCGCCTTAAATAAATATTATTTATTTAATATTTAAAATATTAAGGGGTAGGGATGTGGCTCAGTGGTTAAGCACCCCTGGGTTCAACCCCAGTACCAAAAAAAGAAAAAGAAGAAGAAGAAAGAAAAGAGCAGGGATGCTCTTTACTCTGCTATTCACATCATAGACGTGAGTTTCAGTGCAGGTTCTGGTGGCTCCTTATGTTCACAACCTTTAAAAGTGTCTCCAAATGTCCATATATTCAATCCAAAATTCAAAATAGTACAGTTTATTTTTAAAACTCATCATTTAATAATTAGTTATATTACTGGATAAACTTTCTCCATACTGAAGCCAGATTTAAAGTTAGGTAGTCAGTGTAGTTAGGTAAATCGGGTCTAATATCGAGTGAAATCTAAAATGGAGACCATGCGGAGAATGACTCCTGGAAAACACAGGACAACTCATGGAAGTCCCGAAAAGGCCCTAGGCCTAAGTCCACCTCAAAGAAATGTTAATGAACAGCCCCCAGCAAAAAGGTGCTGACTCAGAAGTCCTTCCTGACCAGATTACTTCTTTGGCCCACCTGTGTCCCACCCCTCGGGCCTTCCCACCTACATTCCATCACTGAAAGAACTATAAAAAGGGGAGACAACATCCCTTCCACGGATTCCACCTCTTGGGTCCCCTTCTTCCTCCGGGAGAAGTCTTTTCTGCTGTCCTTTAATAAACTTCTAATTTCTACTCTGACCTTGCCTCGGCGTGCTTCTTTGGTGTTATTCTTCAACATTGGGGAAGCAAGGACTCGTCACCGGTCAACAGCGGTATCAATACCAATAAAGCAATTTTGTTTTGTTTTGTTTTTACAGAGATCTAAGGATTCCAGAATATTGTCCAGTTCACAAAGGGTTACTATCATGGGGAAACCCCAAAGCCTCATCTCTAGAATTCTTCATCCCTTTCAGTTTCCACGCTTGTTTATAGTTAGCACTTGCCAAACTTTATCCATGACCTTACACCATTACCTGTTTGTGCTGAGACACCTGCTAGGAACAGTTGGGCTGAAGTAGTTTGTTGTTAGGACAACCTTGAAGGTGACCTTATTGAATCCCTGAGCACTGATGATTCAGAGGATGCAAGCCTTCCAATAATGTCAGCATCAAACAAACAAAGGAAGAATGCAGCAATTCAATATTGCAGAAGTGTCATTTTCTAGTCAAAGATCCCTCCAGGGAAAGGGATCTTTGCGCAGAAGCTGGAGGAAGGAGAAATTGGCAGAGGCAGAATGCAATTGGGAGAGGCTCTGTAGACAGATGGAGTTCAAGTTCCATCTTTATAGAATGAAGTGTTCTCTGTAGAGTGTCTCTGACATACTTTTGACACAGATTTGAAACTTCCACCTCCGTTTTTTGTTTGGGAGAAACAAATATAATTAAGACTGCAAAAAGAGTGGAGTACTGTAATACAAATAATATCATTTTGAAGTCAGAAAGCTAAGAGTGGCCAGAATTAAGAAAAACAGAACAGGAAAAAGGATGGGAAGAATAATACAAACTTGTTAAACCACTTCTTTCTGATTTCAGTTTGTCTGTTTTGAGGTGCTTAGTAGATTTTATTTTGATACCTGCCTCTTCGGTGTGAGAATGTGGCCCTACAAGATAATCAGTAAGAGCACTGCCAGAAGCAGAATGAGGCAGTATAAGCCAGTGCCTTGGAATGAACAATGTGTCTCCCTGGAGGAAATACACACGACTAGGTGAAAAACCAGCCTCTACCTCAGAGCAAAGCCTATCCAAGGAAGGGGGCATGACCTTTGTCCTTGGAAAGACCCACAGAGCACTCCTAGGCACATACCCACCCTGTTGAGTTGTTTATCTACAAATAACAGGAGAGTTCTGCAGCACCAGCTGTCCCTGACTCAGTCAGGCTAGCAACCCCCTAGCAACCACCAATCAGTATGAGACGGGGGAAAATACCTGGGGTGCCAGATGACCCTCAGTAATTTATGGTGGTTGATAACATGTTGGGAAACCAAGTAGTTTAGCAGTACACCCCTCGTGGCCTAAACCAATCAGTTCAAAAGAATCCCCTTCTTGTACTAACCAATCACCCTTACCCAACTTCTTCCCGCCAATGATTGTGCTAATCAATGTTAAGAGTTGTTGTTTGATTTTCCCACAGTGTGTGATGATTTGCTAAGAGACGCTATGATGCATGTGAAGTCCCTGCCTTCCCCAAAGAGTGTATAAAACTGCTGAAAACCCTGGGCTTGGAGCCTCTCAGGGTCACCAGTTGCTGTGTGTGTGAAGAGGCCCGAGCTAGCTCGCAATAAACGCCTCTTTGCTGCTTACATCGATCTTGGTCTCTGGTGGTCTTTTGGGGGTCCCAAATTCGAGCATAACATAGGACTGAGGAAGAGCCGTGTTAATGATCACTCTGTAAAGAAGAACTAGAGTTGTGTTGAATGCAAGTGCCACAGGAAAACATCACCAAGGTTCTAAGCATTAGCACCACAACCAATTTCAGTGATGGAAGGATAAGCACTACCATACACTTGGAACCGTACAAGCATCACACTATGCTCTGAACTTGACCTTTGTGCTTTCTCACCATTCTGTCCCCATCAAGAGACATTAGGATTCTGATATGTTTTGTTCTAGTTAGAGGCAGTTGGAGCATTGTGCTTCATTCTGATTTTAAAAGGGCCTTTGACAAACTCAAGTAGCTCTAGAAGATGGTGACCAGGATAATCAGGAAGTCTCTAACCATATCATAAAAAGAAGAATGGGAGTAGTGATACCGCTGGTTATCGGTGAAGAGTCCTGCTTCCCCACATGTTGAAGTTTGAATATCAGAAGAGCACGCCAAGGCAAGCATATGATGCAGGGTTTATTTAAAGAGGGGTAACATTGACTTCTCTCACGAGGCAGAAGGGGCCATAGCTGGTATCCTGGTATTCCAAGAGGCAAGGTGTTCTGCCCTTTTTAAATGTCCTAGGATTCCTTTGTTCTCCTGTCTTTCCCCACTTATCTCTCTCCTTCCTGCATGCCTTGACCAGGCCCAGGAAATGCTCCGTGGGATGGTCAAAAGGTGGGAAATAGGTGGGCTAAAGAGGGAAGGGCAGAGTGGAGTAGACAAGGACACATTAACAACTTTATAGCTCCCGGGAGGGAGAGGACATTCCTGGGACAGTTACCTTGGCAACAGGTTGGAACAGGAGCAGGTTCTTGATAAGATCCTTTAGGGGACAAACTCCAACTTCCCAGACTCACACAAAATTGGCTTCCTAGATCCGACCTGACTCAATTTACCTATCTATACTGACTACCTATCTTTAAATCTGGCTTTAGTAGCTGAAGATGGTTAGCCTGGAGAAGCAAGGTACAAGGTAAGTTACTTACTAGAGTTTGATGGCATTTTATTCCAAGATTTTATTTTATTTTTTTGCAATAGAGATTCAATAGGCTCCGAGTTCAGACCAGTGCAAAAATCCTAGATCTCTTTCTTTCTTAACTTTGTGACCTTGCTCAAGATGATTGACTTCTCTGATCCTCCATTTTCTTCTCTGCAAAATGAGAAAGGCCCTCCATACTTCATAGGGTCTTCATAATGGTTAAATGAAACAATAGCCACTCAGTCAATGATACAGCTATCATTATCTTTGAAAGCAGTACTCACCTTGAGTTGTGAAACATACTGCCCCCCCTCCAAAAAAAAAATGACACAAAAGATGAGAGAAGTATGCATAGATTGGAAAACACAAAGCAT